GCACGCACGTGTACGTGCACACGCACGCACGTGTACGTGAACACGCACGCACGCACGCACGCACGTGTACGTGCACACGCACGCACGCACGTGTACGTGCACACGCACGCACGCACGTGTACGTGCCCACACACGGACGCACGCACGCACGCACGTGCACGTGCACACGCACGCACACACTCATGCACGCACGCACGCACGCACGAACGTGTACCTGCACACGCGCGCACACACGCACGCACGCACGTACGTGTACGTGCACAATCACAGAATCTACAGAAAAGTAGAGTTTTCTGCTGTTCAGTGGGCGCCGACATTTTAAATCACATGCCCGATTCCTGCGCTTTCATTGGTCAGTAAATATTTGTGGCTGAGCTGATAGCTCACGGAGCCCGCACACGCTGAGTTTCTGGCCTCGCGTTGCCACACATATCAAACACGATAGATATCGGTCTCACAGCCACGCGAGGCCAAAAATCGTGCAGAATCTGCGCGCACACGCTGAGCTATCTGCTGAGCCAACGGCCTGACCTCTTGAGGCCGTTGGCTCAGCAGATAGTTCACCGTGTGCGGCGGGCTTTATAAGCGTCAACGGGGGCACTCGTCAAGCCACCGTCACCTCTCATCACTTATACCAGGTGATATCGCCCGGACATCACCGTACGGAGCTTCAACGTATCCCGATTGTGATCACATAAGTGCATCGCCTACATGAGCTGCCATGGAAAATACATATTTCCACCGCTGCTGTGCCTAACGGAAATGTCACTGCAGCCGCTGGGAAAAGAAGGAACATGAGGATCTCAGAAAACTAAAAAGCCCCTAGATTAGACCCGAGATCGACTATCTAGATTATCTAGATAGACCCATTATCTAGATTGATTAGACCCTCCTGTGAATTACGTGACTACGTGTCACTTCTGTTAGTCAGCTCCTCTGTTGCAGACCCGACTTGTTCTTCTACAACGCTATGCTAGGAGCGCAGCTGCACTGTCTGACACAATGCAACTCGGTGTTGCACCTTCAACCGAACGGAACCGTACAACTTACCATGAGGTGAACATAAGTGAACGCGTTCACCAGAACTGCACTGCAAGTGATTTCAACGATTCGTAGGTTCTTGCCAGTAGTCAAATGCATATATTTTTATGTTTTTTTGTATAAGTATTTAAGTCTGTGTGGCCGCAATCATTCTCTCTTCGGCACTCAGGAACAAAATGCACTATAACATTATCAGATTCTTGAAGAGAATCTGAACTGCCATCTGAGATGAATCGAACCATTGCAACACAGAATCAAAAGAATTGTGTTATGGTTACTAAATCAGAAAATCTAAAACATATCCAATTATATTTTTACAGAATGTCGTCATCGTTTGCCTGTCATTTTCATCTAGAAAGCTTTCCGTTTGATGTACAATCGTGTCACCTGATAATGGGCAGCTGTGAGTATTCCACTACCTAGTTATTTTAGTGTAACTATGTGAGATCTTCTCCATCTAGATTAAACACTACCAGCTAACTTCTGTGAGACAGCGGAGATAAATGTGATAGAAAGGGAATAAAATAGATAGAGAAGAGGTGCGAAAAAGAGAGAGGAAGGGGGGAAGGGAGTGAGGGACGAACAGAGAGAGAGAGATAGGTATACAGATATATATATAGATAGAAAGGGAATAAAAGAGATAGAGAAGAGGTGCGAAAGAGAAAGAGGAAGGGGAGAAGGGAGAAGGTGGTGGAGAAGGAGGAGGGGGAGAAGTTGGTTTAGAAGGAGGAGGGGGAGAAGGTGGTAGAGAAGGAAGCTGGTGGAGAAGGAGGAGGGGGAGAAGCTAGTGAACAATGAGGAAGGGGAGAAGGGAGATGCTGGTGGAGAAGGAGGAGGGGGAGAAGCTAGTGAACAATGAGGAAGGGGAGAAGGGAGATGCTGGTGGAGAAGGAGGAGGGGGAGAAGCTAGTGAACAATGAGGAAGGGGAGAAGGGAGATGCTGGTGAAGAAAGAGGAGGGGGAGAAGGGAGAAGGTGGTGGAGAAGGAGGAGGGGGAGAAGCTAGTGAACAATGAGGAAGGGGAGAA